ACAATGGATGAATGATGAAATATTGAAACTAATAGAAAACACACGAAAACAGAAAAATAAAAAAAATGAAAAATACAAACAAGATCAATAAAAAAATCGAAGGAAAATCCGGGATGCAAAAGAAAAGCAGCAAATGTCTTGAAATAAAAGAACTGTAGAAATAGAGTGGTCAATAAACAAGACAAACTGGATATGCGTAGAGAATATATTGAGGAAGTGTTTATTGACGAAAGAACGGAAATTCAAATAGAAAATATATCGACTGAGAAGGCCTTTGACCGGCAAACTAATAAGTGTCTTGCAACAGGTAGGAATTGATGACCAAGACCCCGCATTATCAAAATTTTGTATTGGCATCAATGTGCAAACCTAAGAATTGGTCAAAACACGACGGAAGCGGTGGACATACGATGGAATGAGGCAAAGGTGTATTTTATCGCCTCTTCTTTTTAATAAAAAGAAGCTTTAGATGAAGAGGCAGACATTAAAATGATTGATTGCTGTGAATGCTTCCTGAAAACTGATTGCTTGAAATACTGATTGCTTCCAATGAAAACATAGTTGCAATAACTTATAGACAGGGTGACCTAAACATGGTATGAGTATGGGCTAAAACTTAATACATCTAAGACAAAATTTATGGTTGCCAGCAAAACGGAGTTACCACCAATGAACATTAGAGCGTATGGAATAAAGTTAAAAATAGTCAACAATATCACCTATTTGGGCGCCAACGTTAACGATTACTGGGATATGAACAAAGATGTACAGTATTGTGCGAATTAATGGAATCATAGGCTGTTTTAATGAAAAAACAGTTTATTTAGTAAAAAATTATATTTTGACAAAACTATAAAGGTAAACTTACATCATTCAGTAGGAAATATGTCCCCCTTTGGCAGCAATTACTGCTTTTACCCGTTTTGGAATAGATTCTATGAGTTTCTGGCAGTTGTCAGATATCCTTTCATCTCGATACCAAACCTGAATGGCCGCTTCTATCATTTTTGTTTTAGTGGTACAGTCGATTTTTCGCAGTCTAGCTTTGCAAATGGCCCATAAATTTTCAATGGGGTTGAGGTCGGGCGAATTACCGGGCCAATCTAAAACATTAATCTTCTTATTTTTGAAAAATGCCATCATTTCCTTTGATTTGTGACAGGGAGCAGAGTCCTGTTGAAGAATCGCTCCTCCTTGGGGTTGACATTTTTGGAGTTGTTTGTCCAAATACTTTTCCAACATGGATTTGTATTTTTGCCTGTTCATCATGCCTTCAATTGGCACCAAAGATCCAACCCCCATGTATGAAAAACATCCCCAAAACATTTTCTTGTGAATATTGAAAAAATGAAAAAAAGTTCACAGTGATTCCATTAATTCGCACAATACTGTAAGAATACGCATTGAAAAAGCCTTCTATAAACTAAAGAAAATTTTCATTAATAGAGAGATTTAGAAAGTTAAAATCAGATTAATACGCTGCTACATATTCTCCACACTGCTGTATGACATGGAGAACTGGACCCTTACAGAGATACTAATAAAACATTGGAGGCAAATTTTATCGACGAATATTACTGATAAGTTGGGTTGATCGAATAAGAAATTAAATAGTTTTACACCGAATGAAAGAGGACAGAAATAACGAAAAAAATTGAAAATTCGAAAGTTACAATATTTCGCCCATGTAATGAGACATCCACAGAGGTATAACCTATAGCTCATAATACGGGGCAAGATCGACGGAAGAATAAGATCCTTGCTACGAAATCTCCGAGACATCCGCTAATCTGTTTCGATATGCCGTAAACAAAGTTATTATTGCCAATATGATTGCCAACGTTCGATAATCACACAGAGTACTGAAATAAAAGAAAAAGATAAAGTGTGAACAATTATTTTCTTTGATAAGAGGAAGAAAATCTCCCACAACATCACGATTGATGGATGTATATACATTGGGACGCAGTTTTAAAAATTATTTCCGCTGATAAAATTCACGCCACATATTATAGTCTAGAGAATTAAATTTTTAGTCAGGACACTTACCCAGCCAGGATGCAGATGGATTTTTTGGATACTATGTACTTAATGCATTATAAATACAAAAATATATAAATCAAAATCAAACTCAAAGTTTTTTGAGTAAAAATTTCTTTTGGTTATTAAAACAAATTACATGGAATATTTATAATTAATTTTAATAATAGAAAAAGAAAACGATAACATCGGGGAAAGCTAGGAAAAACTCAAAAATAATATAATTACCGCAGCAACAGAATCACTTGAAGAGATGAAAGTAATAAACACTAACATATCAAAAAACCACCACCCATATACATCCACCACATATTCGTGGATTTCAAAGCCGCGTTCGACTCAGTCAACAGACAAAAACTTCTGCAGGCTATGGTGGAATTTCAAATGCTGCTTCATCTTGTTCGACTAACGGAACTTACACTCACAGGCGTAGAGAGTTTAGTCAGAATCCAAAACGACTTTTCAAGACCCTTCCATTGTAAAAATGGACAGAGACAGGGAGATGGACTGTTGTGCCTCTTATTTAACCTTGCACTAGAAAAAGTAATTTGAGAGTGCCATATTAACCTTCCACAGCTGGCGCTTATAATCTGGACACTGCGGCTGGCGCGCGGAGTATTTGTCCGCATATATTTTTGTCAAACCTTTTGGCTTAAATTTGTTCTACTATCTTCGGAAATGATTTAAGTAGATGTTAATCAACTATTTGAAAATGATAAAATACAGCTTGAGCATTTATTCTGAGTAAAATGTTATAAAATTTCAAAATATGTAATATCGGGAATACATTCTAAAAAAAATTATTAAAAATCAAAACAACTGATTAGAATATAAAAGTTTTAATGTTTGTTAAGAAAATACAAATATATGTTTTAAATCTATTCAAAAAAATTATCCTTAAAACAATTTGGGCAAGTATAGACAGTGTTTTCACCACACATAAATTTTCCACATTGTTTGCATTTGCGACTGGTAGGTCTGTTTTTTATGCTGTCACAAAAGTCACATCTGCCTCTACTACGTTCTGGAATATGTTGAGTGTGATTTACAGGATCTACCTTAGTGATTTCTTTTATTCTCGCTGACATGATACGTGGTATATTGGCTTGACAAGCACGAACGTTAAGCTGCGGTTCAATCTATCAAATTGTCTTCGTGGTAAACGAATCTCGTTATTATTACAATAAAAAAGGACCATTGAGTTTATACCAGCTACATTTAGCATGGAATAAAAAATTACCATTGGCCATCGTCGAGTATTCCTAGCGCATTCATAGGCAGCACATAACTTGTCTACTGTGTCAACTCCTCCCTTTGTAGAATTGTAGTCAAGAATCATTTCGGGCTTCATGGAATCCTCATCAATTGTATCGTCATGATGTAAACTAGACAGGAGGAGTACGTTTTTGTTTCTTTTTGGTATATAGGACACCAAAGTAATATCATCATAAAAAGCAAACATGCTGGATCGAATAGGTCTGCTTATAGGTTTAGAAAATTCATGGGGTATTTCCTTCTTATTCTTGCGACACGTTCCTAAAAATGTAAGTTTGTAATCACGAAGCAAGGTTTGGACTATTGGTATGCTTGAAAACCAATTGTCCGCAGTAATGTTCCGTTTTGTTCCTCTTAGAGGCTCACATAATCTCTTTACAACTTCCGATGGAGAATTACTTACAACAAAAGGACCTGGTGGTTGTTGCCCCAAATATGGCTCCAAATTGCAGGTATAAAAGGTCTTGGAATCTGCTAGCGCAAAAATTTTTAATCCATATTTATTTGGTTTATTAGATTTATACTGTTTAAAACTGCATCGACCTCTAAATTCCTCCAATTTTTCATCTATTGTGACGTATTCAAACGGCGTATAACCGTTTTTGCAATTAAAAGTAAATATTTCAAAAATCTCTCGTATGGGACAAAATTTATCTTTCCTCACGTGAATCTATATCATCAAACCTTAGGTGTTGTAGTAAAAATTTAAATCGGTACCTGGACATTGTTAGTCGAAACATCTCAATTCCTGTACCGTCTTTATTCCAAAGTTCGTCTGTGCTTAACCTGCCACTTTTCAAAACACCTGCCAAATAGAGTAAACCAATAAAAGCACCAATTTCTAAAGCATCTGCTTCCTTTGCGTTTCTCTCTCGATTATAGTTTTCTTGGGAGTGTCTAATATGTTTGTTTGTACATTCAACAATAATGTTTATCATGGTGTCGTTAAAAAAATATTTCCAAATATCTAGTTCACCTTTTAAATTCTTGGTAACTTCTTTAGCACTTGGCAAATGCGTAATTAAGTTTTCTGGACGTGTTCTAACATTTCTTGGAGGAATATGTTTCATCCATTTAGTAGTTGTGTCTTTACCAAGAAAGAAAGACCCAGCAGAAACTATCAATTCAGCACCTTCCGTATCAGAAATTTCTTGTTCTGTATCACTATTTTCATTCATTTGTTCTATGATATTTTCTTCTTAGTCTTCTTCTTCGTCATCGTCGTGCTCAATATTTTCATTCTCGTCGTCGACTCGAAGGCATTCGTCCATTAGATGTTGCAAACGTTCTTGTTCTGCCTCATACGCATACATTTTAAAATTCACAATAACTAACAAACGTTCAAAATTTCAAAACAACACGGCTGGCGCGCGGAGAATAATCACTAATACCTTCACATCAACGAACAGGATGCGACTGACGCTTGGTATGAATAAATCAATTATCATTTGTGGGAGGTACATGGGCGGACCAGAAAAAAGGGTGGGTAGTTTTTGAAATATTGAGAAGTTTAGATCGGTGCGGAGATTTTGTCCGCGCGCCAGCCGTGGAAGGTTAATACGAATGGCACCATCTTTAATAAACCTGTACATGTGGTCGGATATGCAGATGACATAGACATTATTGCTAGGTTCACAGAATTTCTGATCGAAGCATTTTTATCATTAAGGGCGTCTGCAGTGAGAATGGGATTAAAAATAAACGCACAGAAAACCAAGTATATGTATTGTACTAGATCAGGCAACCAGACACCTAGACTATTAATTGATGATCTGGAACTGAAAGGTGTGGACACCTTCGTCTACCTGGGCTCACTGTTGACCAAAGACAACAATGTCAGCGAAGAAAATAAAAGAAGAATATTGCTTGCCAATAAGTGCTATTATGGCTTGAGGAAACAGATGGCCGCAAAACTACCGAGAAAAATGAAAATTACCGTATATAAAACATTAATAAGACCAGTGTGTTAACATACGGGACAGAAACGTGGTCACTTACACAGAACGACCAAGAACTGCTTAAACATTTCGAGAAAGAAATCTGAGGAAAATATATGGAGGTGTCCAAGAACAGGGTTTGTGGCGTAGGTGCTACAACTTTGAGTTATACAGAAGTTTTGGGGAACCTGTCGTTGTAAAATGTTTTAAATTAGCACGCCTTAGATGGATAGGACATGTAATTAGGCGAAATGAAAATGCAACGATCAGAAAAATTTTCGACCGAAGAGGACCAGTGGGAAGCCGATCCAGAGGAAGACCAAAACTTAGGCATAAAGATAACATAGAGGATGATCTAAAATCTATCGGAGTTAATACATGGAGAAGAGTTGCCAGAGACAGGGACGAATGGAAGATTGTTCTGAAGAAGGCTTTGGCTCATGACGAGCTGTAATGCCACTGATGATGATGATGGCATTTCTAAAAATTTATTTACGTTGCTAAAATCGACTTGGTTCCTGTTTCTTTTTTTGGTACGCTTACAGCTAAGTTAGTTCTTATAAAAGCCCATTTCGTAGAATTTTTTAAAACATGTTTCTGTCGAAATTTTGTGTTATTGAACCAGTCGACCTCTATGTGTTACAGATTCTTCTTTCCTGTTTCTCTTTAATTTTTTCGTCAATGTGTCTGTATATATCTGTAGATCAGGGGTGCTCAAACGGTCGGTCGCGATCGACTGGTCGATCGCGAGAGCTTTTTGGGTAGATCTCGAGAAGAAAAAAAAGTTTTAATAAGTAGGTAGGTAACTAAACTACTGTCAGCAGAGTTAAACGTTTTTATTAATACTGAACTATACAAATACATAGAATGCTTGACTAACCATCATTGCAATTCAAAGAAGTGGGGACAACAAAATACTGTCCACACAGCATATTTTATATTTACATATATTAACTAATTATTTTATTAATGCAATATTTATTATAATTATTAATCAAATTTGGGATGATATTCTATCAACTACAAAAATGTATTACGTAATAAAATAACACTGCTTGCGGCAAAAGGTGGCTTTATCAAAGGAACGCGCGGCACTTGTCAAAGAAAAGCCGTGTTGTTTTTAGACGAGATACAGTAGTACAGTCTAGTTTCGGGCGGCGCGTTTGACGGGAAAATTCGAGACTTTCGTTCACGCCGATATAAATATTGCGCCTGTAGGAATTGGAGTTATTCTGAATTGTAACTTGATAGCGATCCTACGTCGATACCAAGTGTATTATTAAATAGTGGAAAATGAGTGCAGTGAACAAATCTAAAACGTATCATTTTAATAAGGATTGGGAGGAAGAATTTTTCTTTTCTATGGCAAAGGATAAGTGCATTTGTGTTATTTGTCGTGCGTCAGTTGCAATACCTAAGCGTGGTAACTTAGAGAGGCATCATAAAACGGTTCATAAAAACTATGAAAAGGATTTTTCGCCACGAAGTGAATTAAGAAAACGAAAAGTAAGTGATTTGATATCTTGTTTGAAAAAAGAACAATCCATGTTCACAAGACCAGCTAAACAATCAAAAGCTGCTACGATCGCGTCATTTAAATATCTCATATTTTGGCGAAACACAAGAAACCATTTGAAGATGGATCGGTGGTGAAGGAAGCATTTATTGAAGCGGTTGAGACTTTATTTGGAGATTTTAAAAATAAAACAGAAATCATGTCTGCTATTAGAGAACTTCAGTTATCTCGTCCGACTGTCACAAGGCCTATTGAAGTCATGAGTCAAGACATCGCAGATAAACTACAACATGATATCATGGAATGTACATACTTTTCTTTACAGTTCGACGAATCCATCGATATGACAGACACTGCCCAGCTGTGTATTTTTATTCGGATGGTATTCAATGACATGTTGGCTAAGGAAGAATTTTTGACAATCATTCCTCTGAAGGGGAAGACCCGTGGCGAAGATATATATGACGTTTTCTTAAATTTTGTAAAAAACTACGAGCTACCAATATATAAATTAATGTGTATTACAACCGATGGAGCACCAGCAATGACTGGAAACAAAAACGGCTTTGTGGCATTGTGTCGAGCTAATGAAGAATTCCCTTCATTTTTTTCATTCCATTGCATTATACATCAACAAGTTTTGTGTTCAAAAGTTTTAAACACGGAGGAAATTATGGGATTTGCAACAAAAATTGTGAATTCCATCCGTGCACGTAAATTGCAACGGCGGCTCTTTCAGTTGCAGTTGGAAGATAGGGAGTCAGCTGAACACACTGATTTAGTTCTTCACACGGACGTCAGGTGGTTGAGTCGCGTAAAATTCCTAGAAAGGTTTCAAGAATTATTGCCCGAAATAACAGCTTTTCTAGACGAAAGAGGTGATTACACTCAGATTTTGAAAAACGAAAAATGGCTAAATGATTTGGCATTTTGACTGACATCACAATGCACTTAAACACCGTTAACTTGGAGCTTCAAGGTAAAGGAAAAACTATTATTGAGATGATTAGCGCAGTAAACGCATTCAAAAGTAAATTGTAACTTATGATAGATCAACTGAAAAGAAAGGATCTGAAACATTTTCCGTCTTTGAAAGCAAGGATTCCTCAGTTGAATTATGATACGTATGAGGCTGAATTATCAAATATTTTGGGACAATTCGAAATGCGTTTTTATGATTGCAGTGAATTGGAAAATATAGCATCATTTATGAGTTATCCTTTTTCATGTAAAAACATTGAGGAATTAGCTACTGAAATAGCAAGTCAGTTTAATATGAACTTATGTTCTGTTGAAAATGAGTTGGCGCAGATTATAGCAGATATACATCTCAAAGCTACAGTATCTGATTCAGATTTCTGGCGTTTTATATCTGAAGATAAATATCCGAATGTAAGGCAAATCGCCCTTCAACTGACGGCATTTTTTGGGTCAACTTACTTGTGCGAGTCTGCATTTTCTGAAATGAAGATAATTAAGTCAAAATATCGCAATCGACTAACTGACGATCACATGACATCATGCTTGCGATTAGCACTCAGTGGTTACGTACCATCTTATGAAAAGTATGCTGAGGACATGCAGGGCCACGCTTCAACATCCAAAGCCACTCCTTAGTTAAGTTTAACACCATATGTAACTCTTTTGTTTTGTAACAACAAATAAACTCGCAATTTTGAATAACTATGAGTTTTTTCATTGATATTGTAGAGAAGAACCTAACTAAACCTAACCCAAACCTTGACTAAAATAATGTACCTATAAGGTGGGTAGGGTGTATCGTGTATGTACGACAACCCTGCATCACACATACTTGTAGTCTCTCAGAGTCGATCGTAAGTAGTCTAAAAATATTGAGGTAGATCGCCAGCAGTTCAAGTTTGAGCACCCCTGCTGTAGATCCTTTTGTAAAGGTAAGCCTCAAGTATAATAATTTCAAACTAAATACTTCCCTGGCACTCCACGTGGAATCCACGCCCAATTGTCAAACTGCTGGTACACTGTCACCACTCGTAGGAAGACAAGCTCCCAGGCTAAAGAATTATTTTTATGGGAGAGTCAACATACCTGTTTTATTATCGCATATTGTTCACCAGAAGCTGTAAAATCTCGGTACTCAAATTTGAAATTCGAACCGTTTCGAATCATTTTAAATTCGTACTCTTTTATTATCAAAACTTTATGATTATGATTAATTATAACGATAGTAATTATTCTAGGAATTTTGCGTGGACTACAGTATTGTTAAAATATTAAAACGTTTTCGCAATTTTCTGCTTCACATGAAATGTTGCATACCTTGGAATATTAACAATGAATTCATTTATTGCATGTAATAAATATTTTAATTAAATTAATTTGGATTTTAATACTAACTTCAATAATCAGGAATTTCAATAAATCATTCTTTGTTGACCATTAAAAATGTAATTATACATTAAAAATTTAATTGCAAAAAAAAATGGGAAATAAATAAATGCATCGCAAAATCGTCGAATTTAGTATACAGATTAGGTCACTGAAAACTGATATTTGGCGATATTTATATTTTCCCCTCTATTTATCCTCTCTTCTATTTCTCCATTATTCCCTATTTCTTATTTCCTATTAGCTTGTATCTACTGTTCCAGACTGTACTCTAAATCATCATCAATAGTTATTCCATCCGTCGCCAGATGTAAGCCTCCCTTAGGTATGTCCGTTCATTTCTGGTCGTTGTTTTTTGCGTCCATTCGTGACCAGCTATTCGCTTAATGACATCAGTCCATCTGGTTAAAGATTTGCTTCTATTCTATCTCGCTTTTTTTAATGGTTGACTTCCATTTTTTGATTTCATCTGTTACTTTTGATTGTCTTCTTATTTCTTCATTGGATTTGAGATCGCTGAGCTTTAGGTTGAGCATTCTCCGTTCCATAGCTCTCTGAGTCAGTTGAAGTTATATAGAAACAGTTGAGTTTTAAAATGTATACTTCAGACAAAAAATCGGCATTAGAAACAATTTAAATCAAACTTAGCAAACACTTTAAATAAAGACGAAAACTTTAGATAGGCACTTACTCGTATTGCTGGTTCTGACATAAGACATGGGCTTTTAACAGCAATAGAGCAAAATGTCAACTTCTATGTTTATAGTATATTTTCCTAGTAAGTTTATTAACTAGTATGAGATCCGGTCTATTATGCGCCACTGGTTGGTCTTTGAGCACAGTGCGATCCCAGTATAGCTTGTAGTTGTCATTTTCAAGCATTCTGTCAGGGACGTATTGATAATAAGGAAGATGGTCGGTTTGGAGAAGTCCCAGTTTGTCAGCTAGTTCTTGGTGGATAATCTTTCCTACTTGGACTTGAGGATCTTTAACAATATATTTCAGGTAGTTTTTTGTTGGAATAACCTGATCCTGAATGGCAAGTAGGAAACCCTCAGTCTCGGGAAACATCTTTCCTGATGTCAACCAATAGTTCGACGCTGTATTGTCGACATATTCTTGGCTGATCTCATTTAGATGTCGCCCATGCAGAGGTTTATTCATCCAGGTGCGCATTTTTTCTTGTTTAGTCAGGTGTTTTATGCACATTTCTTGTTCCC